GCTATTCAGACCTCTATGGTGGGACGTCGGGCCTTGGGCGCTGTGGGAGTTTCGGGTGCCAGGGTTTCATGCTGCAGGATGATTTCGATTTCAGGCTGAGGGTCGGCTTGCCGCCCAAGGCAGGAAGTAGCGCAGCCGAACATGCCAAACTCAAAGACACACTCACCTGAGATCGGACATAAGACACTGAACCAAACCTGACGAATCAGTCTCACGCTACACCTGCTTTAAAAGTCTAACCTCGCGTCAACAAAAACCAGCTCAACATATTCTTCAGCCCTGGGCTTCTGGAATCCTAACCCCGAAGTTTGAACTCTGCACCGTAACTTCAATGCCCTACAGCCCTCAAGCCCTAAACCCAAGCTCCGCCAACCCAAACTCGCAAAACCCGGCACCCGAAGCCCTAAACATCCCTAAACCCTAAACCGGAAGCTGCCCGAAGCACAAACTCCCCCCAAACCCACACCCAGCCCTCGCGCAGGACACGAGGCCTCGAACCTCGGGTCTCGTCCACCATGCACCTCTCGGAACTACTTTTCTTTCAGTTTATGGGCCCTGTTGGCTGAGGGCGTTGCGGTTCTTTTGGGTTTCTGCCTGTTGGTTTCAGCGACATTTTTTTGGTTGGGGTGGCTTAGTTTAAGGGCCTCGTTGCTTTTTGGGCTGGGGGTATTCTAGCTCAAGGATTTGAAAGCCCTTTTTGATTTTTGGCATAGGGTGCTTTAGTTCAAGGGCCCTTGTTGATTTTAGGATGTTTTGGTTTAAGGGCCCGGTGCAGGGTTTTCGAAGTTCGAGAGGGAGCCATAACTGACAATGACGACCACCACAACACTTAAGGTAGAAGCCCCAATAATTTCAGAGGCCTGGATTGTTACTTGTGTCTTGTAATAGAAAACCTTGAGGAAGAATCCAGAGACCAGTGCTCACCTCAGGCCGCACCATTTGTTGGGGTATACACTGCAAACCCCAAGCCCGAGGCCTGCTCATTGGCCACTAGACAATGAACCCATTTCAAAACTCTGACATAAATCCCAATCACAACACCGGTGCCCCAGCTCCCTGAACCCTCTGTGCCAAGGGGCCATGCCACGCTCCATCGGCATGGGGTCCGCCCGCATGGGTGGCCGCCCTTCGGCAACCCAACACGAATTCCGAGTTCAGGGTTTTGGTTTAGGGTCCTGCAGTTTAGGGGGGTCGGGCTCGGGGACGGATGCTTAATGAGTGAACTGTAATGTAAGATCGAGCTGGGCAGAAACGCCTTCTGCGCAGGTGAAACTGGGCATGCAGCAGCTCATGAACCATCCCCTCCCAGGTCTTAACCGGGCTTGAGGTTTTTTTGGGGCACCATGGCCTCCGCGGCCCATTGACGGAGACCAGTTCGGCGCTTCCCTGGTGATGGCAATGACAATTTTGGGCAGACTGAGGGTTTAAGGGCTGGGATGGATGCAGGGTGTAGAGTTTTCGGGTTTGGGGTTGTAGGCTGTTTACTCTAGACTCTAGATCAGGCTGGGCCACCTCTTGGAAGAAGAGGTGTTCAAGCCGATCCAGGTTTGGAAGTAGGGATGAGGGGGTGCGGGTGCGCGACAAGTTCAACGTTCGGGTTGAGGCACCTTGGTTTTGATCTTCAAATCCACACCAGCCTCCGCACCAAATGCAGCTAGCATCCCGAAGCATCACGCAAGCAGGTTCGGCAACCCAGAGCCAGTCACCCTAAAGTTAAGCTGAAAACTCTCGGCCCTAAATCCCCAGAACCCGGCTAGGCTTTAGACTCAGACCCCCTTTCGAACTTGCCAGGCTGTTCCTCACTACAGAACAAAGGAAAAACTGGCCAGCCACGACAGCCCTACGTCACCCAGAAGGGAGCCGCAAGAGCAATCCCTGAACTGCGACGCATTCCTGGCTTTTGTGCTCAAGTCCGGCAGTTTAGGGTTCGGGGTTCAGTGAAACTCAGGCCCTGAACCCGAACACCCTCAACCGCGAATCCCTTAAACTCCAAACGTTCGAGACGTAAACCCCAAAAACCCCGAACCCGAAATCCTCCACAGTTCCAAATACTGTGCCGGCCTCTGACCTATCTTGGAGGAGGGCCAGCTCTGTGGCCCTTGGCCTCGGGAAAACCTTCGGAGGTACGTCTACAGCTGCTTTAGCCGACTTACGACTACACCTACAAGGAAAATGTTTTTGCTAACTCTGAGTGTACTAGTGGGTACTTTGGACTTAGGATTGTATTGAAGATGTAAATTTAAGTCTTCATTCTATAGATGGGCTTGGCGATACTTACGACTTTAGGGGTTTGCATGGGCCAGCTGCTTAGCCCCGCTTCAATGGCGAGGAGCTTGCAGATTTCGGCAAAACCTTTCGGGTGCATACCTTCTTGCAGTTTGCACCGAATCGTGGGAAGCCCGAGGCCGAAGAAGCAGAAAAGGACTGCGTGCTCAGCATAAGGTCTGAGAAAGCTTATTCCAAGCTTAGTTTAGTAGAGGATTAAGCAACGAGACACCCTGACTGAACTCAAAAGAATGCATCCAGATGAGGTGGGCGGACCTGATCAAGCTAAATTGCCAGGAAAGCGCTAGAGGACATAAGTTCTTGTAAACACCCCTAGAGGTATCTTAACAGCAAGCCATGATACGAAGGAGGGTACGAAGGAGGGCAGAAAGGGACCACGGGTGAGACGAACTCGCCGCATTCGAACAACAAGCAGCAAGACGCATGCTGACAGAAATCAAACACAAAACTGACGAAACAGAAGCTCTCTTGCTGATGCCGCCTCTTTGTGGAAGTTGGACGCGGCTCTAATGCTTCTTGGTATGTGTAGGCCACATTGCTGGATAAATTGGCGGCAGAAACAAGCGTGCCGTCCCAGCATTGCAAGAGCCCCGCAGCAGCAAAGGAAGGCTGTTGCACGCAATGGAGCGCTGTCAGGCCACCCGCCACATCTGCACTGGCTTCATGCGACTGTCAAGACATGCTGGAACGGTGCTGGTCGAGGCGAGCATAGGCTTGCGGTCGAAACCATCTCATAGTTCACTGAACACCCAGCCATGACTTCCAGAAACATCGCTGGGGACTCATCATTTTTATGCTTGAACCTTACATTGGTTGTGCTCCTCGGATTCTTCAGAAATGGTACTGTCGCCTTCCTATACCGGCATGGAATCAGAATCCGTCTGCAACTCCATGCCTGGAGGACACCCTCACGTCCCCAGACCTCTCAGGCCACTTACAGCAACTGCCTAACACTGACAAATGCAGAACCCCGACACATCCCCAAGATTTAAGGAACAAGTGACATATCTGACCACACAAGTGGCACCGCGCAACAAAACGGTCAAACCTCGAAGCCCCTTACCGCCCGCTACGCTTCACCCCTCCAGCATCACCGGTAAAATCTTGACAAACGCTCGGAGCGAAACAATGCTTCCCCTCTCAGCAGCTCTGGGAAGCCGTGCTCTGGATCTAGTGCTGTGTCCACGTGCATCTGGCTCAAGAAGTCCTGGGAACCATCAATTCATGCGGCGAGGCTTCGTCTAAGCAGGGTCTCATGCAGCGTCCATTTCGACGGTTTAGAAGGTTCTGTCTACTCGGTTTGGGGACTTAAGGAACACGTCCTTGTTTCAAACTCTGTCGTTTTGGTACGTAGCAATTCCTGCTACCATGAGGGCGTGGTCCTGGTCGACGCCAGGTTCAGTCCATTAACTTAATTAAAATGGCTAAGCTGCCCGGGTTAGACGGGCTGGGCCTAGTACAAAGACGACGACTACGTGTACAGCTAGTGCTACGTACGACGAACAAGACTGGGAAAACGATGACTGTAAAGAACAGCTGCGATTCCGGACATTGATCTCGTCATATTCCGTTGGGATCAGATGAGATTCTCATCTGATCCCAACGGAATATGACCCGAACTTCAAAAGGCATCCACACCTGGAAGCATGAAACCATGTCAATGTGGGATTCCTCATTTTTCCGATCTGAACTGACCGTCCGGACGATTCTGGTCGAAGAGGCCCCGACGCGCTTCTGTCTTCGGACTTCGTCGTCGGGAAGGCGGCTTTGGAAGTGAGCCTGGTCGACGTCCAAAGGTTTGCTTAAGGCTGAGGATTCTGCGGTTTAAGGTTGTACCAGGACAGTTATGACGGGGCTTGGGGATGCGGGTTCCGGGTATGGGATTCAAGGCTTTTTTTGCATATCCACACTGCCACCCATGGGCTCTGGCAATACTTGGCTAAAGAAAACCGGTTGAACAGACTCAAAGCAAACTTGCGTAGTATGACAGTGACACCCGGGAATTACACCAATCACAAACATAAACGATGATTTAATGCTGGTCATCGTAGTATTCAGTGCCATTCTCCGTAAGTTTGGATGCAATGTTTTGGGTCTTGTTCGTAAGAGCGCCGCGCTCTGTTGGGGACCACGCTGCTCGAAAACTTGGAACGCTGGTCTTGGATCCGACTACCCTCAGTTCTTAAGCTTGAAGGCGACGAGCATAAATTTCCGTGCATCGGGTGCTGTCCATGCGGTACATCGTGGTACACGGAAACTCCTGAACCTTAAGGCCTGCAGGATCTGCTTTTCGGGGTTTTGGCCTGGGGTACCCGAAGGTCGGAAGCCTGAGCAGAACAATCGCTCTGTTGCTCCTCTACGACACGATGCTAGCCATGCACACCTGCATGGACGATTCCTATGTATCCATCACACAGCCAGGACAGAATACTAGCTTGGCACCTAGTACACTCTGCAGTGGCCTGGCTGGCAGCATAGTCGATGAAGTTCACGCCGTCTCAGCAAGGATCGCATGGGAATTCTCTCTCCTTGCCTTTGAACAGAAGGGCCTGAAGACTTCACACGCCTAACGATATAATCAGAGGGTCTGGGGGTTGTAGAGCTGTTGGGTTTGGGAACTGATCTCCCACCACATCCACAAGCGGGAGACAGAAGTTCCCATGAGTTCTGATATAGGATTGTAAGAAGCAGCAACCACCACAATGAGAAGACACAACAAGGCGTTCGAGTTCAAGTAAGACGGAGTTCTAGCAGTAAAGCATATAAACAATGCTAGTAATCACTCACCCACAGCTCTAGTCTGAGGGCTCGGCTGAAGTCCGTCGTCCAACTTCTCCGGATAGCCAGCGCGCGACGCGCATTGAGCTCCTCTTCCCACGCCCCGAGTTTACAGGTCCAGGGTTTCATAGCAAGGTCCTGGGTTCCCAACAGCCCTCGAATGTTAGGGAACCACCGCCGCTGTGCACACCCTTAAAGAGCCCTATGCTGTAGCGTTGTGTTGTTGCCGTCTTTGCCCTCCAGACAAACCCAGCAGGCTCGGGGAGCAGGTGTTCGGATTTCAATTTGAGGTGAAGGATTTCGCGTCCCTTCATCTAGGAGCGTCTTGGGGAGTGGGAGGACGCGCCCCGAATTTCTGCTCAGGTTTGCGTTGTTTTGTTTACAGGAAAATTCTACCTATGCCTGGAATAAGACACAGCAAGCTCAACTTCCTACCCATTCGCCTCGGAACCAAGAAGCACAGACCAGATACGATAAAACCGCATAGCAGGTCGAAAGACCGGCACAGCTTTCGGAACATCCCTGAACCGGCAAACCGACGGCTGAGGGTTTAGCATCCAGGAAAGCTGAACAAACTGAAAAATGAGCCCTGAATCCTGCAAGCTTGTGCCCTGAAAACACTACAGGGGCCCTTGTGGTACGTCCCTATACTCAAACGAACAAGCACGCAAACAACTCAACAAACATATATAAGTGTATACGCATATGTATATATGTCTGCGCTTACGATGTTCAAACAAAGTCGAACACGCCAAAAGACTGAACATGCAGTGTGTTTTTATTGAAGTTCCACCTGTTTGACCCTGGTCATTACGCTGCCACATCAGATGCATCAGTTAAAGGTGCAGGGTTAGGATACGGTTGGCTCTCAGCGACTGGGGTGTTAGGGACCTGGGCATCCAACCTTTGTGAAGTTCGTTGCAAGGTGTGCTAGAGCATTTTTATTGGCTTACCGTCATATCCGAAGCTGCTTAGTCATGTTTAGCCCATTTTTTGGATTGTATCCGACATGTTCCAGAGGGAGCATGCAGACATGGTTGCAATGTCCGGCCTTCATGTCCCTGCGACAAGGATATGAAAAGATCCTGCATAGATGATTTCGAGGGATGCCCTTGTGGGCTGCCTTCCTCTGCTCGGTTCGGCACGTTTCTTGCTGAGGGCCTTTGGCTCTGAGCATCCGTCCTCCGTCCCTGGTGAAGAGATGGGCTGCGCATGTTCCAGCAGCGGCGGCACTGGCGGCATCAGCCTTGAACCACAGGAAGAGATCTGTGTCGGGGCGGAGGTATCCGAACAGAAAAGGGTTTTAGCTTAAATTTTAATCGAGTTTCTGCAGTCATCCTTTTTTGCATTCGCTTCCTTTTTATGAAATAAGAGCTTCCCCTCGTGTGATGGCAGTGCCAGGTTTGCTTCAGTGGAACTGAAGGCTATCTCAACCAAGATGGACCGTGCTGCAGCAATCTGAGCTCGCCCCTACTCGGCAAAGACTACAAAGATGTGGAGGTTTCGGATGAGACTTCATCCTACTCCGATGAAGAGGAGCATGCCCAAACCTTACATGCATCCCGACAGCGATGTGAATCCTAAGCCCGAAACTTAACCAGGAGGAGCAGGAGGAGCAAGAGAAGCAACATCCTTTGCCCTGGGCGCGCTTCGCTGCCTTGTGGGCTTGCAGCAGTTTGGCTTGCGGTTTGCTGCCAGGGCAATCGCTCTTCGTGGAGATGTTTGCCGACTCCGGGGTGTTCATGTCCAGCTGCGCAGACGGAAAAACTGGATGCACCGATCAAGTTCTTTTCCTCACCTCCATCTTCGGCGCTGGGCAGAGCCTCGCCTACGGCTTTTCGGCACCAATCGGCCTACTCTTCGACAGATGGGGGCCGAACGTCACGGGCGTAGTGGGAGCAATCCTTTGTGCCACCGGTTTGTTGATGGTATCTGGATCTGCCGCTTGGCTTCGCTGTTGGAATCTGCATGTAGGTTTTGGGGCTTTTCATTTGGGCCTGCAGGCAAGCTATGAGTTATCTCCTGGCAACAGTTTTCGTAGCGGGTCTTACTCCAATCCGAGGACTTAGCCAGGCAACTTCAAGTTTTAAGCAGGCCGCCAACACGGGGTCGTGCGATACCGTGCAGCAGGTACTCACGTCTCAAGCGTTCGCCATGTAAAGATTCAAACACTTGTGCTTGTTATGCCTATCTGAGCTGGAATTATCCAGGTTATGGGTGCAGTGGCAGGATACGACGCGCAGACCTCATACCTATTCCTCATCGGTATCTTCACATGTGACTTCGGCTCTCTTCTCAACAGCTTCTCGTTCATGGGCCTCATCTGGCATTTTCCCGGGAAGCAGACAGCACCCTGAGATCCACAATAGAGCTTAACATTTTGTGGGTCACGAACATATGAAAGATCGCCCGGTAAGATAGTGCTTCTTTCTGACCTGCGAAAGAGGTGGTGCTTGCCTTGATCAATTCCACCTACCAGGCCTCTGCAATGCTTCCCATAGTTGCGCAAGCGATCATGGATCATTTTGGCTTAACTTTATCGAACATCATGCTCACTTGGACTGTGATGGTCGTGGCATGTATCTACCTCTGCTGGCTGTTCACTCCCACACAGGCAGAGTATTATCAGCAAGCAAAGAAGGTCCTTGGCATGCCCTTGCCGAAGCCACCGAAAACGATGAAACCCTGCGACATGCTGTCGCGCGGCGTAAAAGTGCTGCGGCAGCATCGGCAAGAACACGCTGTCTCTGCCATTAGTCTGGCGCTCGGCTTGATAATGCCTCTGATGTATTCTGCCCTAGCTGCTCCTTACGGCACGGTCTTGTTTCTCGGCCGTGGTTGGAAAGTTCTTTTTGAATTCCAGTTCGAATCTTCCTCTGGCGAACGGCTTTCAGTGACGATTCAGGTTTGGTAACAAGTCGGACGGCAACAGGCTTGCGGATATCAACGTCCTGTGTACGACTATCGTAGGATTGGCATTGGGCCCCTCTGTGGGAACCTTTGCAGACATTTTTGGCCTGCAGGCGGGGAGTAGCCGGTTTAATGTTTCGGATCACAGGGTTACACGGGCTTTTTGGGCCTCAGTTTTAGCTTCTTGTGAGTGATTGTTCAGGTGCTGAGTGCGCAAGCCCACACCCCAATGGTGAGGTTATGTGAGAGACTCGAGGCATATTCTGCTCCTTTAAGCTTTTGAATCTTTTATCTTGCCAAAATGTCCCATCCAGGCCCACGCATGTTATGCTCAGTTTATATAGCTATATTACCTATATAGTCCTGTATCGCTCATGTGTAAGCTTGCAAACCGTAGGACCTAAGCCAACGGGGTGGCCAAGCTCAACAGCACTTGCGCCTCGAAGAGCTCTAGCCAATAAGCCCCCTTCAATCAGAGCTTCGCCCGCAAGGCTGCCGTCCTATGGGCGGGTCAGAGAGGCTTAGAGTTGAGGGTGAAGGGTCTGCTTGCATCGTCCCTCAAAGTACTTCAGAAGTCCCTGCGAGAAAAGGCTTTCTGCCAGCCCAGTTCTATATCACTGCACATCCGAAAACTCTCCGTCGTATACCAGTAGCTACGATGGTGTCACAGCACACGAAGGCCCTAAGAAATCAAACGCGCAAAGATAGACAACGTTGTCGCCTGATGTGCGAGCCGCTTCGGAAGGCCATCGTCGTTATCTTAGCCCTGCTGCAGGGCATGTCAGTGGTGCTGATGGGTTTGGCAAGCTGGCCCGCGCAGATTCTTTGTGCAGCTGCCCTTGTGCTCTTTATGTCTCTGTGGGCCATCTTGATCACCAGGTACATACTACTTTACTCACCTCCAAATCGAATTGGTGCTGTGAACGGGGTCTTTTCATTGGGCGTCACGCTCATTGGCATGCCAATGCAGTTGACCGGGTTCTGGGTGACTTCGATTCTGCCATCAGGTCTGGACGCATATTGGCTCCCAATGTTCGTTGTTGGCAGCAGCGGCACGCTTGCCCTAGCCGCCTACTCCATCTACTTCCATAAGTTCCCCCCTCCGAGCAGTCCGGTTTTGCTGCCCGAAGACGAGTCCGAGTTGGCGAAAGGATTTGGCTGCAGAAATTTGGAGGAAGTCTGCATCATCACCCACACAAAGACCAAGGCTGAGCTCGTCAGGAAGCTGGCCTCCTCGAAGCCGGAGGACATGCAGAGCCTCATCAAAAGCTTCGATGTACGGAAGATGATGGAGATAACGACACAGCGACCGGTCATGGATCTTGCTGACATGATAGAGGCGAACGACGACGAAGATGAGGAGCCAGAAGAGGAAGTGGAAGGGCCACGGACGACCACAGCGGCTTTGGAGGCAAGGCTAGCGGCTTCCAACTTGCATGAACCACATCTTCGCTCCCGCAGCTGCTACCTGGCACGGATTATCGCAGCAGGCGACAAGAAAGCACTGCGGGAATACTTCCTCAATGAGCCAGTGGAGGACATGTGGAACGTTAACGTGTACTTGTCGGAGCAGCAAACTGACGCAGAGCAGAAGCAGCAAGACAGAGCCTTCCGCAAGTTGATCTCGGGCAAGGATCTCGGGGATTTCGCTCGCGGCAGTCGTGCGGCGGTGGTCGTCGCAGGGAGTAGGGGTCGCATTTTGAAAGTCTTGCAAGTATGGTCGGCGGCGTCTCAGATGTAGTAACGTAGTAGTCGTAGTTGTCGTCGTGCACGGCAGTGCGGGCTTGAGTTCCTCTGGACAGGAGTTTGCCGCTCTGCTTCGGGAACGTCCCGAGCTCAAACCCTTCGCCCTGCACATGTCCCTTGGACCAGAGGTGACCAGGTCCTCTCGGGATGTTGGGGGCTGACTCCTTGCAGGGGCTGTTAGTTTTAAAGGGAAACGGGTTTGCTCCGAACTCCAAGGATGATGCAGGCATTGGAGAAGAAGATGGCTTCCGCTTCCACTGGTCGGAAGAGCAAGAAGTGAGCAGAGCCTCGTAGGGGCCCATCCTCTCAAGCCCAACCGCGAGCTCCTCAGGTCGAAAGTCTAAACTTCTAGACCCTAGAAAATGTGTTTGTCGATTGTTTGTGCAGAAAGTCGCAGAAGGATGATTAAATTTCGTTCTTATGATTGCCTTGCTTGTGGAGCCTTATTCCCAGCCGATACTTTTCTCTGCTAGTGGTCTAAAGTCGTAGAAAGTTTGTTGACTCTGGGGCCGCGTGGGGGCCAGACTGCTACAAAGATGCATGCAATGGCCCCTTTACCCCTCTGCTCTCCACAGAAGCAGCCTCAAAGTCGTTTGTTTTTCGCTCTAGTGCAGAGTGCAGGCTTCGGAGTGGCCAAGCCCTTGGAACGCCGCATTCAAGCCTCTGCGACTAAGCCGCGAGGACTTATCCAACCCTAAAAAGGGCCATACACACGCCGTGAACGGCAACGGCCAAAATCTCAAGGTATGCTTGTCTGTATATTACCTGCATGCAGGAGTTCACGGTCATGTGTTGCTCTATATGAATGCCGGGGCGAGACTTTGCGGGAAATATAACTAGAACTTGCAGTCTGAAGCCTCAGATGGTGGGTCTAGCGCTGAAAGCCTGTAGGGCTCGGGATAAGCGCTGTAGGTAATGGGAAGGACTAGCAGGTTTTATATCTTGCGCTCGAACCTTCTTCATCCCGGCTCTTCGGTATCTACGGTAGGGAAGTATGGGCCCAGACAGAAGGATTATAAAGATTGGATACTAATTTTTTTTGTGCTGAGGATTTTATATTTATGCTATACATCTTTATATCTCCATTGACCTCTATATCTCGATTCTCGTTATCGATAATTGCGTCTTATATATATATATATATGGATTCTCTTCATATCTCTCGATAATGAGAATTAGCTTTAATCCGATCTTTGGACGGTATAGTCGTAATAATTATTCTTTAGAATAGAAAATTTTATATAGATTCTGGAGGCGACGGATTACTCGATACGATTATTTATATTAATATATATTCGGATATCGCTATCAAGAATATTAAATATTCATATCTCTTTTTCTTAGAATCTCTACTTGAAGAGCGGGATTAAGAGAAGGAAAACCCACTTAGATAGATTCATTTCAATAGATATTCAGAGATATCTACGAAATAATCTATGGAATTTAAAAAATAAACATTTTAGAGAAGCTTTGAAAGATTAGATTATATAATATATATTAGATAAGATTAACGAATGATTCGGAATCTTTATATTGCTACTAAATTTGAATAATCATTATTTCTATCGATCCTCTTTTATGATTGATTTTTTTCACTAATCTCTTTTATTTTTATTATCTATTCTATATATTCTACGATATACGTCTCTATTCTCGATTCTCTTTTCTCTTCTCTTTCATTTCTCTTCTATTTTTATTCTTATCTTTTATCTCTTCTCTTTCTTCTTTGGCTTCTTTTTTTCTCTCTCTCTTGATGAATCTCTAATCTTTGATTTCTTATCTCTCTCTTTCTCTCTCTCTTCTCTTCTCTTTCTCGATCTCTCTATCTCTCTCTCTCCTATTAATAATAATAATTAGAATAAGAACTCTATCTCCCCCATCACTAGAACTACCGCCACTACCATCAAGAAGAATTCTTTTCTATCTTCTCCATGCCGGAATTTTTTCACGACGATTTATCTACGTCTAATGCTGCGAATATTCATACTCGCGTCGTATACGGTATATTCAACTTTTCTGGTACTTGCTTATTCCGATTCGGGACTAGTTCAGGCCTGAAAGATTCTTTTAATTTTTATGCATAAGTTTCCTACGATTCTATATTTTAGGAGAATATTGATCTTTAGCAGATCCTGAGCAATTCCAGAATATATACGATATCCCTAAAAGAGATATGGGGCAGTCTCGGAAATCCGCAGCTAGTAAATATATATCAAATTGTCAGAGAAAAATAGAGAGAGAGCGCGGGCGAGCGAGCGAATAGGAAAGATAGAGGGGTGGAGGGTGGGAGGCAGGCAAGGAGAAAAGAAGAAAGAAAAAATACGAGAGAAGAGAGAGCAGAGAAGATAGAGGAGAATTCTTCTTATTAACTCCTCTTCTCTTCTCTCCTCCCTCCCTCTCTCCTACCCTCCGTCCCTCCCTCACTCGCTCGCGCGCTCTCTCTCTCTCTCTCTCTCGCTCTCTCTCTCTCTCTTTCTCTCTAATCATAATAACGACACTAGCAACATCACCACCACCGCCACCGACTATGCAAATTCTAGGACAGCGGGCGCATCCAATACTCCATCCAGCATCTTCGAGCACTCTGAGATATTCAAGGCAGAATACGCAGAGCGCCAACGATAGGAATCCGAATTAGTCTCCAATTATATTCGCGGCGAATTTTCAGTAGCATATCGAAGATTATGAGAAATTGAGGGGCGCTATCAATGGTCCGGAATTAGCTCATTGCAGTATGGAAGTATCGAACAGACTCATCAATTTTCTCAGATAGGGATAGGGGAAAAATTGAATAAAGATCAAATATATTAAATGAAGATCCAAAATTTAAAAAAATAAGATTCAAGAAAATTAAATAAAAAAGAGAAAATATTCAAATAGGAATCCAATCAAGAAAGACAGGAATAATGGAAGAAAGATATATAGAGAGAGAGAAAAAGAAAGAATGAAAGAATATGAGAAAGAAAGAAATTTATAAAGAAAATTATAAAGAAAGAAAGAAGCAAATCAAAAATCAATAAATGAATAAAGAACGAAAATTATAAGGAAATAAAGGAAGAAATTAGGAAATCCAGAAAGAACTCAATAATAAATAATTGAATAAATAACGAAAATTGAAAGGAAAGAAAGAAATAAATCAATATGAAAGAAGGAAAGAGAATCAGAACGAAAGAAAATAATAAAGAAAGAACGAAAGATCAAATAGAAAGATAAAGATTAATAGAAATATATAAAGAAATAAAGAAAGCTATTTCTTTCGAGGCGACGTTAATTTTCGTCTAGAATTGCTTCAAATCGATTTAAATGTCGTATTCCTAGATCCCTAGATACGAGAATTGAAAAAAGAATAATAATTCGAGAATCTTATATATCATTCGTTCTTTCTTTCTTATTTTCTTTCTTCTTCCTTTAACTATTTCTAAAAGAAATAAATAATCAATATATATCAAAAGATAGAAAGATAAAGATCAAAGATAGAAATAATGATAAGGAAGAAAGAAGACAAGAAAGACTAAGAGAAGACAAGAATTCAAGAAGAAAGAGAAGAATGAAGATTCCAATAAATAATAAAAGATAGATATCATATATAATAAAATACCAGAACGAAGGAGAGAAAGAAAGACGATGAATAAATGAAACAAATAAGAAAAAAGAAAGATCAAATCAGAACATAGAAAAAATCAAATAATACGAAAAATAGAATAATAAGTAAGACAAGAAAGAATTCAAAATAGAACACGACTACGAAAGTCGAAACGAATTTTGCCAAATTCAAAATTTGATGCTCGTAAACGGATCCAAATTATAAATCCTGGAAGCTTGGACCTTCAAATAGAATCGTGAAGTCGGAAACCTTATGCACCAAGTTCATATTGCAAACGACTACATGCGCATGCGGATATGCAGAGGGCCTGGGCAGCTCGGACTTTAGAATAGTCTTATATCCTTAGCAGAGAATTCGATCAATATCATTCTAAAGATACGGGAATCGCCCATCAACTGACCTGTCAACCCTTTATCAAACTCTGGGTTTCGAATCTCAGAATGAATACTCGAAAATGCAATGTGCCGAATAACAAATAGAAAGTACGCTCGGATAAGATACAACGCCCATATGACGTACGCCATATTATATGATCTAAATTGGCGTAAGAATCATCAATCACTTCGATCCAGAACCCATTTTCGAACTGGCTGCCCTCGGTGGTTGCATGTCGCTGTCTTTGTCCCGCCAACATGCCCGATGTGCGGCTTCGACGACGTTTGCTGCCACTAGTACTTCTGCGACGTTGCGACGACGAAGACCACGACTACAACGACGGCTGCTACTACTGCTGCTGGTATTACTGCTGCTGCAACTGCCATCCCTACTCAGCTACTGCTACAACTAGTACACCACGGACAGTGCCATGTTGACCTCGACGACGAGCCCTGTGTACTCAGTAGGTCAGTAGGCACCCACACCCGCCCTTGCCAACTACGGTTACCGAAACCGGCTGCCGCAGGGCCGGCTTCTGCAGGTGAAGCTTGTTGGTTCAGGGCTTAGCTTGCCTTGCGCTGGACTCTGACTGCGGAGCCTGCAAAGTGGACAAAGACAAAGCCTGGTATTGCGACATTTACACTACTGCTACTGCTCCTGCTAAAGCTAGTGCTATTTCTACTGTAATTGCCACTGCTCTCCCATTATCGTGGAAAATGCACGCAGGTTCCAAAAAAGTGCGTCAACTTGTATGTCTCTCAGCACCCTAAGCAGCATGTGAACAAAGCAAAACGGAAGCAAAGCGCGAGGCAAACAGTATGCTACTGCTACTGCTGCTGCTGCTGCTACTTCTTCTTCTTCTTCTTCTTCTACTACTACTACTACTACCACTCCTACTCCTACTCCTACTCCTACTCCTACTCCTACTCCTACTCCTACTACTACTACTACTACTACTGCTACTGCTACTGCTACTGCTACGACGACTACTGCTACGACGACTACTACTACTACTACGGTGCAACTGGTACTCCTGCTCCAACCACCGCGACTGCTAGTGCAGCATATTACTACCACTAGAAGGACCTCCGCTTCCTACCCCACTTCTGCTGCCGTTGGTGTACTACTGCAACTGCTACTGTTTCATCTTTCTTTTGCACCTTGTGCTACTATCACAGACACATTGAAAACCAAGCTCTGCTTGGTGGTGTTACATATAGGCCGCACATCCAGCGTTTCGGCGGGTGATGCGGTGGCGATGTGCGCAGCCGGAAGCTGCAACACAAAGCTTTCCCTCAGCA